GAAACCCGGGCACCGAGATGGCCTAAAAACAACAGGGAACGAGCACTGATTCTCAAAATACACTTATTCAAACCGGCCTGAACTGCCTGAAACGCCAGGGCTGCAATCCCGATAAACTCACTCTGACTGAGAAAATTGCAATGCATGCTGTATGCGAATGCGAATGCAAAATGCGTCGAAACATAAACCAGATATGGGAACCGGTTGGTCAAATTTTGGGGTGCAACAGTGTGAAACATGTTAGAGGCTTTCCAATTTACATCATGCGTAAATCGAGACTCTTCATTCTGTCACGTCACCTAGCCAGTCTATCAATAGAGCATTGACATTCTGGGTTCTTTTCCTTTGGTGCTCGATCATCTAAAAATTTTTATCGTCAGTGTAGACTATTTCACAAAGTGAGTAGATATGAATACCTTATCGAAAATTACGACATAAAGGGTTTGGTGTTTCTATTGGTAATGGATTATATGAAGTTTTGGCCTACCCAGAGTCATCATATCATCAGATAATAGTACACTGTTTTCTAGCTCAGTTGTGGTATATTTTTCCATGACTTGGGGATACAGACAAAATTTATCTTTGTCGTCCACCCAAATGCCAACAAACAAGCATAATCCGCAAATAAGGTTATACTAAGCGGGATAAAGAAAAATCTGGACAATGCCAAAGGTCTATGGGCCGAACAACTCCACGAGGTATTATGCTTATATCACACATTTCCTCATTCAACCATCAACAATACGCCATTTAAAATAGTATGCAACACCAACACCATGTCGCCGATCAAAATCTACACTCCTACTCAAAGGAATGCTCATTTCAACGAAGAGGAAAATGAGATAAAACCTAGATGCGCGACTAACCTGATTAACAAGACCTATGACATCTCCCATAGTAGAGAATTCATTGCCAAACAAAGGACCTCCAAAAGATACAACTCCAAAGTGGTCCCAAGAGAAACGCAAGGAAGTGACCTCGTGCTTATGCAAGTGGTTAAACCAACTCGCTTGGGAAAACTGTAGCCTAATTGGGGAGGCCCATATTATGTATTCTAGAAACTGCCTCACGATGAATACAAACTTAAAAAGCTATATGGAAGACTCGTTCCATGAACTTAGAACTTAATTAACCTATGATATTATTATGGTTAGTCATTTACTATTTCTTTTTTAATAAGAAGAGAGGCTTTGGCCGACCAGTGTATGAACTCTCTTAATGATTTACTTTTCTTTATACATAAAGGATAAGGGGCCCTATATAAAGAACTGTCTAATTGAAGAGGTTAAATCTATTGAGTGTTAGACCTATAACCAAGTATCCTTGCTGCCCGTGAGGCTATTGAATACTAGAATTTCAACGAGATATCCTTGCTTCCCATGAGGCTATTGAATGTTGGAACTTCAACAAAGTATCATTGCCGCCTGCGAGGCTATTGAATAATATAACTTTAACAAAGTACCCTTTCCGCCCACAAGGCTATTGAATTCTGGAACTTCAACAAAGTATCCTTTCCACCCACGAGGTTATTAAATTTTGGAACTTCAATGAAGTATCCTTTCCGCCCGCAAGGCTATTGAATGCTGAAACTTCAACAAAGTATCCTTTCCATCCACTAGGCTATTGAATGTTAGAGCTTCAACGAAGTATCCTTGCGACCTATGAGACTATTTAATGTTTAAACTTCAATGAGTTATCCTTGCCTCCCATAAGGGTATTGAATGATGGAACTTCAACAAAGTGTCTTTTCAGCCAACGGGGATATTGAATGCTGGAAATTTGATAAAGTATCATTGCCACCCTACAAGGAATTCATATGAAGAACCTTTAGGATCATTACCAAAGGGAACTCTAAGTAATGCTTGAGGGACTCTCCTCAACAGCGTTTGATGAACTCATCTCAAATAATGAATTTGTACAGCCAAAGTCGCATGAACTTCGAAATTAGTGGACAAACTATGAAGAAACTTAAATACCCTAAAAGAACTCGTCTTAAGCTCTGCTCGAGGGACTCGCCACAATCCCATTTGGGTAAGTAATCCTAGATATCTAGGAAAAGAGTTTTTCCCAAGGCCCTATGATAGAGGTTGGATCCATACACACTTAAGTTAATCACTTTGCCCTTTATAAATTCTAATGCTTGAGGGTGTGGACTGAGATAATTTCATTGGGTCCTGGGAGGAATAACTTAAAGGACATAAGCCAAGTCATTTACATGAACGATGGGCGAGCACCTAACAATGGGTCACAAGTCACCTAAAAATGACATATTCTTTAGCTACCAAAAGTGTGTAACAAGTCTTCATTTTGGGTCTATGCTAAGCAGCCAAAATCAAACCACCCTTCCTCTTCATTCAATCGACGAGGCATATGGTATAGGTGAAACTAGTCAAGGAGATAGAGCAACCACCTCCTCCATGTTTGCAGGAAGAACCTAGTTTTCTCACTACCACATCTTTGATCGAAAGAAGGGAAAACTACTTCTCTTGGTCTATGATCCAGGCCCAATGAGCCCCCTACATATATCTTTCTTCAATAGGGTAAAAGGATCACACAATTCCCTCATAAACATGCATAAAATCTTTCCACAACCCTTACGTGGGTGAGATGTCAACACTCAAATACCCTATAACCCTAGATAGCCATACATAAACAAGGCTATCCCTAATTGTACTTTTTTAGCAAGTACAACTTTCCTCTATTCGATCCAATTCTATGAACTTGCATTATTTCACATGGTTTTTTGATAAATCAAGTTTCTTATATCAATTAAGGTGTTTTTTATTCTTCTTGAGGTTGTTGACATATCATTGTCTATGTGCAAATTGAAGAATTTTATGTGGTCTGGGGGACTTTTATCGCCAAATAAGGTGTGAAGCGATGACTCAATGTGCGTTGAGTATACATCTTGCTTTGAATTGACTTGGATTTGATGTCCACTATGAAGGTCATAAGGACTTTTATGAAACCAATGACTTTTTCAATGTCTCTTGAGAATCCTATCAGTGTCGTGTTGCATGACTTAGGGATTATATAAGATAATCCTAGTTATTTTGTAGGCTTCATGGAATTTGATGTTGTTTGAGTTGCCTTGGTCAATCAAGCTTCACTTCACGTTATAATTCACCATTCTTACTAAGATGATCAGTTGGTCGTCTTGTTTCCTTTTGATCCTTCTATAGTTTTTTTCCTCCTAAAATGTGATTGTAGGTAGGATATTTCCTACATGTGTAAGGACGTACATTAACTTTGAAACTTATGTTTCCTTTTTCTGCTACTATTATAAGGTCTTTGCCCAACAAATCCTCCTAAGACGAGGTTGATATTTTTGGACCGACGTGTCAAAATCCATGTCTTCTTTTATCTTTGTTATGCTTTTGTTTAGGGCTTCTTAATTTCCTAAAAAGTGGCGATGACACGAAACTTCTTCTTTTTCAGTAAGATCTTTCTAAGTCTCTCGATCAGTCTTTTATATCCGCATACTTCTAAAAATCACTTTTTTGGATTAGTTATTCAACTTGGATCTTTAATCCTTGACATTCATCAACGGAATGACCATGTATAATGTGATACTCCTGGTATTTTCTCTTGTACGATTCAAGCTTTAATCCCTTGTTTGTTAAGGCAAGTTGATTAAGATGTAATTGTATGCACCTGAGAAGATTCTATTGGACTTTTTCATTAATGTGGTGTAGTTAGATAAATACTTTTTTCTTCTATCTTTTCCTCGACCATTCTGTCCTTCGCCTCAATCCCAATCGTTGTGGGGGACATTTTTTAGTCCTCTCTTTTAGTTGCAACTATCTCTTCGGTAACTATATATCCTCTTGTCTTTTTCTGAGATCATCCAAAATGTAACATCTCAGACTTCTTTCAGTATTATCGACTAACCCCACAAACCAACACAAGTCTTTTTAGTATGCTTTGTCCTCACTCACATGCTTTCTGAGAAACTTCCCAGAAGGTCACGCATTCTAAAATTGCTCCAAGTCAAGCACGCTTAACTATGAAGTTCTTACCGAAAAGAAGATGCATCTTGTTGGTATAGGTAGTACCATGCACTCTCATCCCTGCACAGCCTCAGGATCCTTCTCATTCCGATGTGAATTCGAGTTTTTCCCTAAAAATTATTAGGAGTGTCTCATTGTCATGCCTCATGCACCGACAACCACTCCCTCGCCACCCTCGGGTGTCATATGCAACCATTTTTCTACCCTCTTTGACCTCAAGTGTTACATAAAGTCTCAGAGAACTTGTGTGCTATCGAATTAGAAAACGAATTTGATTCGAGACTTACCACACCCATGTATGAATGCCACAATCCATAAGAAGTTTAGGGTCTTTTCCAACATTTGCTTGAATCCATGTCAAACTCATTTTTTACATTATTTTATTCATAATGTATTTGGCTATGAGATCTGTGTGGGTCTTTTCCTACATTTGCTTGAATCCATGTCAAACTCACTTTTTATATTATTTTACTCATAGTGTATTTGGCTATGAGATCTGTGTGCATTCTTCATCTTAGAGAGTGAATGTCAAAAACTTATCCTAAGGTTGAAAAAAAGAATTATCAAGGTACTAGCCTATCACATTGCTAAACAATTTATTTCTAATATTGAAGAGGTGTGATTAGAAGATATTCTTAGTTTAATTTGTCAATATATGTGTTTTACTCCAAAAATAAATAAATATGGCTACGGAATCCAGCAAGGTTCCAAAAAAGCTGGTTGTTAAGTTTCAATAATTTCAAATATCTTCATACTTATATTATATACTTAAGATAAGGATTAGTCTTGTAAAAAAAACAGAGTATAATTGATTAACAAACAGCAAAAGGTACTACTCCACAACACACATTACATTGCAATATCCCTATTATTTTTGTATCTTACCATCACTAGATGGTTGAAGTTGAACAATTCACTGTTCAACCAAGTTCATTCTTTCACCAATACAAACTTAAAAATAAAAAAAAGGAATCAAAGAGAAAAAACTCGCTAGCGTCGGTCTCTCTCCGCGACGAAGTGCTTAATAGCCTCCCTCATATCATCAAAACAATCCGACCCATTCAAAAAGCTTCTCAATTTCCAAAGCTCACGATCACAAACATCATCAACAAAAGGCCGAATCAAAATCGCGTTTTCGGGTTGATTCGAAAACGACACCGGATTATCATCCACAATAACAACCCGTTTCAAATCTCTTCCCACAACAGACAAATCCTTCACAAGCTTCCCATCAATACTACGGCACGAGTCACGGTAAAGCCGGTGCGAAATAAACCGGTTCCGGTCGAGCCGGTCGAGAACCAAAGACGCGTACTCCTTAAGCGCGGCGGTGAAAATCACTATCTCGTATTTCAACGCCAATGATTCCAGCAATTCATCGACTCCGGGCCGCTTCGAGACGTAGAAATCCATCGGTTCGCCGTCGATGGTTGGCCGGACGATAAAATCGAAACTCCCCGGAGGGAGAGTTGTTGTGGAGTGGACTAGGGTTTCATCGAGATCGAGAAAAACGGTTTTCCGATTTGAGAGAGTTGGAGGAAGAAGTGAGGGCTCGTTGTCATCGAAGAGGAGGGTTTTGCAAACGGTGTCTAGGGAATTTTCGTGTGGGAAATGGAAATGGTTTGTTTTCTTGAGGATTTTGTAGCTGTTTCGTTTGCGATTTGAACTGAGGCGGGTTAGCCCTAGTTTCGAGAGGAGTTTCGAGATGCGGCGGTGGATGGAGGAGAGGACGGCGGAGGATGCCGCGACGACGTTTTTTATCGGGGATTTTCGACGCCAACGGCGTTTGTTAAGATCTTTGATTGATTTGGTTGGGGCTTTCCTCTTAGTCTTTGACACCATTTTGAATTTGGTTCAAATATTTGGTATCAAGAAAATGAAGAAGAGAGAAAGAGAAAGAGAAAGAGAAGAAATTGGGTTTGTGTTTTTTTCTGTCTGAGTTGATGGCTAATTTAAATGTAGGTTTGGTGTAACGGTCATAAGCAGGCTCGGAGCCGAAGCATATTCGTGTGTGTTTTTATTGGTTGATTTACATTATTGCTGTTTAGTTTGTTTCTTTGTTTCTTGTACTTATCTTTAATTCCCCAACTTTTTTCGTTTTTAATCTTTTTCTTTTGGGTATTTTCAGCAGCTTTTTAGGTATAATACTGTAGATAAATACTTAAAAATACGTCATCGATACCTGTTTCGAAACAAAATCTGCCTTAGTTAACATAATAACATAAGAATATGTCGTAAATTTTTTTTTCATAAAAATATAAAATGTACTTTCTAATTTTGTGGTGCACGTGTGAAATAAGTGCTGCATAATGCACAGTCACTTTTTCAATTGAATAAATAAATTTAATTATTGATTCAAATGATATACGATGAGTTTTACTAATTCATTAATTAAAATTGTACAAGTAAATTGTTATTATTTGATTTATGCATGTTAGACAAAATACTATGATATGATTTTGAAAAGATCTATCCATTTACAAATGAGGAGGTGAATTATGATTTAATATTAAATTCTGTTTAAAGTTTTAATAATTTGATGTTTCCTTTCAACGATAAGGAGAGTACATGTAAATACTTTAACTTTTAAATCAATAACAATGAAAAATAAGATGTTTTAAGATTAAAATATATGTATTAAAAAATATATATTTGATGTAACAGCCTCGCCAGACTTTTATAGTAACATTTCAAGATTTTCAAGGATTTGAACTTTTTTTTATATTGGATAATTATAAAGATTATATAAATGTCAGAGGATCCCTCATATTGCAGTGTAATGGTTCTACTAGTTCAAATTGTTATGATTAGGTATTCTTCTAAATAAGGTTGGTCCTGACTTTTTAGAGGTCCAGAACAAATAATAAAAAAGAATTCCTAATAAAAATTATAATTTTTAAAATTAAAAAAAAAAACATCATCTATTTAAATTGTAAATAGCACCCACAACATCAAAAGTAGTCATTTATCCATGTAACTAACATAAAAAAAGACATTCTATTTAATATCATCAAAATACCTTCTAGCTACTTAAAAAAATGTCTTCCTTCTAGCATTTTCTAAAGCAAATTCTTAAATTAAATCTTCATACTGCATATTCTCCAATAAATCATTCTCGATTGCTATCAATGCTTTGTAACATGGTAGACTGCAAGTAAGACTTTAACAACTTCAGTTTAGAAAAACTTTTTTATGTCGAGGCAACTTTCACATGAATAGTCAATAAAATTCTATATGCAATGAGTGTATTAGGAAAAAAATCCATGTTTTTCAAAAATCTTAATATATCAATAGGACCAATATTTTCTACAGGCAAAACATCTCTTAATAACCTTAACTCCACACATAATTCTTTCATATCAATATCACATTGCTCATCATGTTTCAATGTCTCTTCAAACTGACTACAACAAGACTCTAAAGTTGCATTATCCAATGATTGTAAATTTTGAGAAGTAAATAAAAAACCAAAAACACTTTCATATTGTTGGTATTGCTCAAATCTCTTATTAAGAGATACAATAGCTTGATCAACAATGTAAAAAAAATAATTAACTCTAAAAGATTCCTCTTCAGATAGCTCAATTAGTGGGGTATTCAAATTCTCATTAAATTGTCTTTTTCTTTATTTATACGCCTGTGAGAAAATACTAGATCAATATTCAATTTAAGGACAATTTTTGTAGCATAATTCAAGGCATTTTAAAAACCGGTTTCCCTATATTCCTTAAAAAAAAAAAATCAACCACGTTATTTTTCCATAGCAATATCAATAACCATATCCTTTGATTGTAAGAGCTTGCTAACCACATTAGTTACGGATAATGTTTCAAACCAAATAATTGTTAAATATAATTCATAGTGTAAACAGATTTGATTTGATATGATTAGATTTAATTTGAATATTTTGGGTCTTTTATGTTTTGGCCTTTTGTAAACCTAAAACTATAAATAGGGTGTCTTGCTTTGTGTTCAAACACAACATAGAACAGATTTCACAGTTGCAGTTTGAGCAAGTGAAAGTTCTATAAGCAATAAGAAATCTCACAGTTGTAGGTAACACATTCTCTCAAAATATTTCTTCTCTCATTCAATATCTTTCTTGTTTGTTCTTCTTTTCTTTCGTTGTTCTTGATAATTACTTGTTATTACCATTACTATCATATTGTGGGTTTGTTCATCAATCTTGAGAACAAGATTGAAGGGGAATTCTTCATATAGTGTGAGGTGAATTTCCAACATCTGGTATCTAGAGCTCCGGTTGAGAGATTCAAGGAAAGAAGATAGTGATGGCGATGAACTATCCGAACGACAACTTTCCGGCAACCCTGTCAATTCTCAAGAAAGACAATTATGAGAATTGGTGCAAGCAGATTAAGGTGATTTTCTGTTATCAAGATCTTTGGGATCTTGTGAAGGACGAAGTAACATCGCTTGGGGAGAACGCAACGGAGGCAGAAAAGGCTGCGCACAAAGAATTGAAGAAGAAGGATTATAAAACACTCTTTATAACTCATCAGTGTGTTGATCCTGATAACTTTGAAAAGGTTAGTGATGTTGATTCAGCAAAAGAAGCATGGGAGATTCTTGAAAAGTCGTTTGGAGGGGCAGAGAAGGTGAAAGAGGTGAGGTTACAAACTCACAAGAGAACCTATGAGTTGCTTCAGATGGAAGACAATGAAAGCATTACAGATTTCTTCACCAGAGTTATAAAGTTGGTGAATCAAATCAAAGTATGTGGAGAAGCGCTGACGACGAAAGCAGTTGTCTCAAAAATCTTGAGATCGTTGGCTCCAAAATTCGACCACGTGGTAGTTGCCATAGAAGAGTCAAAAAATCTATCAGTGTTGACGAAGGAAGAGTTTCAAGGGACTCTTGAGTCTCATGAACAGAGGATGGCTGAGAGAGCTGCAGGAAAGTCGAAAGATATGGCTTTACAGGCACAGTCAGAAAAGGAAAGAAAAGGCAAAGGTAGCTCGAATGGCAACAAAGGAGGAAACCAGTCGAATCAGAAGAAACCTTGGAACCAAAGAAACCAAAGAGGTGGTGCTGCAGGTAAAGGAAGAGGTGGTGGTCAAAAGACAGACAAAAGCCACATTCAATGTTTCAATTGCCAGAAGTATGGTCATTATGTTAGTGATTGTCCAGAAAGGAAGAGAAATCAAGAGACTGATGCAAAGTTGGCGAAACATGAAGAAGAAGAAACGTTGCTAATGGTCACAACAAAAGATGAAGAAAGATTCCAAGATCAGTGGTACTTGGACTCAGGATGCTCATCACATATGACTGGAAGGAAAGATTGGTTTGTCAACATGAAACCCTCGTCGAAGAACACAGTGAAGTTTGCAAAATGACAACACTCTAACAGCCGAAGGTGTTGGTGATGTTCTGATTATGAGGAAAGATGGCAAAAGGTCAACAATTTTCAATGTGTTGTACATACCAGGCATGAAGAGTAATTTGCTCAGTATAGGGCAGCTTGTCGAAAAGAACTACAAGGTAGTTGTCGAAGACAAGATGATGAGAGTTCTCGACGCATGTGGTAGATTAATCTTGAAGGCTCCAATGTCTCAGAATAGGACCTTCAAGATTGGACTCAATATGATGGAGCACAGATGTCTAGCAACTGCAGCCAGCAGAGATGAGTGGTTATGGCATTTTCGACTAGCTCATCTCAACTTTAATGACATCAGAGAACTGAAGAGAAGAAATATGGTTTCAGGATTACCAGAAATCGACATTCCAAGTGAAGTCTGTGAGGAGTGTGTTCAGTCGAAACAACACAAGAATAGCTTCAGCAAGGATGCATGAAGGAAGTCGAAGGCAATACTTGAAGTCATATACTCTGATGTATGTGGTCCAATCCAGGTGGATTTGATTGGTGGCAATAGATACTTTGTCACGTTTATAGATGATTACAGTCGAAAGTTGTGGACTTACCTCATCAAGAAGAAAAGTGATGTGATTGAGGTATTTTCCATATTCAAGTCCATGGTCGAAAGACAGAGTGGCCGAAAGCTGAAAATTCTGAGGACTGATGGTGGTGGAGAGTATGTGTCGAAAGAGTTTGATACACTATGTGTAAAAGAAGGGATTGTGTATGAGCTGGTGCCACCTTACACTCCACAGCAAAATGGGATTGCAGAACACAAGAACAGAATCATCATGAATATGGTGAGAAGTATGTTGAATGGAAAGCATCTACCTAAAGAATTATGGGGAGAAGCAGTTTCGACAACAACATATATATTGAACAGATGTCCAACAAAGAAGCTTGAAGGAATCACACCAGAAGAATGTTGGTCTGGTGTCAAGCCTAGTCTCAGTCACTTGAAGGTGTTTGGATCTATAGCACATAGACATGTGCCAGATCAGTTGAGAAGGAAGCTTGATGATAAGTCAAATCAGATGATCTTGATAGGATATCATTCGACAGGAGGTTACAAGTTGTTCGACTCAGTGAATAAGCAGGTAGTGATCAGCAGGGACGTGATCATAGATGAGCTTAAAGAATGGGATTGGACTGAGAATGCCAAGAAGGATTCAGTGAGAATCTCTTGTGAAGAACCAGCCACTGAAGTCGAAATAGAAGTTCGACATGAACCAGTTGCAGATGAAGCAGGTTCAAGCAGACCTCGACGAACAAGACACATGCCTGCAAGGTTGCAAGAATGTGTAATTACATCAGATGATGTAGTCGATGAAGAGGGTGAGTTGGTACATTATGCTTTCTACGCAGATGTCGAACCAGTCAATGCAACTGAGGCATTGAAAGATTCGAAGTGGATGAAAGCAATGACTGAAGAGTTGGAGTCCATCAAAGTCAATGATACCTGGTCACTTGTTGAATTGCCGCAAGGCAAGAAGACAATTGATGTGAAGTGGGTTTACAAGGTAAAGGTAAATCCTAAAGGAGAAGTAACTCGACACAAGGCGAGACTTGTGGCAAAAGGATTTCTTCAGAAGGAAGGAATCAACTTCGATGAAGTATTCGCACCTGTTGCTAGAATCGAAACAATCAGGTTGGTTGTTGGTCTAGCAAATATGAACAACTGGCACACATGTCAGATGGACATGAAGTGTCCATTCCTTAATGGCCCCTTAGACGAAGAAGTTTATGTTGCACAACCAGCTGGGTTTGTGAAACAAGGCGAAGAAAGAAAGGTGTACAGGCTTCATAAAGCCCTGTATGGACTTAAGCAAGCTCCAAGAGCTTGGAATAAGAAAACCGACAGCTTCTTAAGGGAGAAGGAATTTGTGAAGTGTACAACTGAACATGGAGTATATGTAAGAAGAAGCAATGGCGAATTGCTTATACTATGTCTCTATGTTGATGATTTGTTGATAACAGGGAGTCGCACGAAGGAGATCGAAGATTTCAAACATGACCTGAGTGAGGAGTTTGAAATGTCAGACTTGGGAAATCTCTCATATTTCCTTGGCATCGAATTCTACAAGACAAGTAGAGGTTTGATGATGCACCAGAGAAGATATGCAGGCGAAATACTCAAGAGATTTGAGATGCAAGATTGCAACCAAACTTCGACTCCAGTTGAGCCCAGATTGCAACTGTCGAAGGATTCAGATGAAGATGATGTCGACCCAACCTAATACAGAAGACTTATTGGGTCACTTAGATACCTTTGTCACACAAGGCCCGACTTAGCATACAGTGTTGGTATGATAAGTAGATTCATGCAGAAGCCAAAGGTATCACACCTAACAGCGGCGAAGAGGATACTGAGGTATCTGAAAGGAACTCTCGACTATGGTATTTTGTTTCCAGCAGCTGATGAAGGAAAAGAATGCAAGTTAGTGGGATACACAGACTCCAGTTTGTGTAGTGATGCTGAGGATCGAAAATCCACAGCTGGTTATGTGTTTATGTTAGGTGGTGCACTAGTTGCTTGGAATTCGAGAAAGGAACCAGTAGTGGCATTATCATCATGTGAAGCAAAATATATAGTTGTTACTCTTTGTGCATGTCAAGCAACTTGGATGGTGAACTTGGTCGAAGAAATCACAGGGAAGAATCATGGAGCAATTACCATGAGGATAGACAGCATGTCAGTTATCAACTTGGCGAAGAATCCAATAGCTCATGGTTGAAGCAAGCATATCGAAATGAGGTTCCATTATCTTCAAGAGCAGGTAGCAGAAGGGAAGATGAAGTTGGAACACTGCAGAACTGAGAATCAGATTGCAGATATCATGACGAAGGGAGTGCAGGTTGAAGTCTTCAGAAGACTAAGAGCCATGATGAATATAGAGAGTTTAGACACAATGAATTAGGTGGTGTGTTAAATATAATTCATAGTGTAAACAGATTTGATTTGATATGATTAGATTTAATTTGAATATTTTGGGCCTTTTATGTTTTGGGCTTTTGTAAACCTAAAACTATAAATAGGGTGTCTTGCTTTGTATTCAAACACAACATAGAACAGATTTCACAGTTGCAGTTTGAGCAAGTGAAAGTTCTATAAGCAATAAGAAATCCCACAGTTGTGGGTAACACATTCTCTCCAAATATTTCTTCTCTCATTCAATCTCTTACTTGTTTGTTCTTCTTTTCTTTTGTTGTTCTTGATAATTACTTGTTATTACCATTACTATCATATTGTGGATTTGTTCATCAATCTTGAGATCAAGATTGAAGGGGAATTCTTCATAGAGTGCGAGGTGAATTTCCAACAATAATTATCGACATTAAAAACTCAAAATCACCAAGTTCATTTGTTGCTAAGGATTTACTTCACTTCTTATTTTAGAATCAATGTCTTTTTCTAACACTTTAAGTAAAGCTTCTCTAAAATCTGACGTTTGAGTTTTAATAGTTTTGACACTATCTACAAGACTCTTCCAACGAGTGGATGATAATGATTTTGGAGTCAACCATTTTACATTATCTTTCAAATTTTGTCATCTCTTAGTAGAATTAACAAAAATAGTATAAATACGTTAAACAACTCCAAAAAATCTTTAGCTTTAGGACACGAGTTAGTCAAATCACCAATGTCAAATTAAGACTATGACAAGCACAAGGAGTATAAATGGCTCTTGGATTTATGTCTAAACATTTCTTTTGTACGCCTTGATGTTTTTCTTTCATATTTGATCCATTATCATAACTTTGTCCACGCACATCAAATATGTCAAGATCAAGATTTTTCAATTCATCTTGTAAAACATCAAAAAGCCCTTGACCAGTTGTATCATTCACATTCAAAAATCCTAAAATAGATTCTTCAAAACTAACATAATTTGAAGAAACCTTCACATATGGTATTATCAAAGATATTTTTGCTCTTGGTGACTAACATCAGGAGTACAATCAAGTATCACTGAGAAATACTTTGCTTGTTTAACTTTTCTAATGATTTCATTTTTAATTGCAGAAGCAAGCAAAAGTATTAACTCATTTTGAATTTTATGTCCAAGAAAGTAAACATGAATATTATCATATGTAATACGTCTAACATGTATTTGGACAATTGGATCAAATTCAGCTAACATTTCAATTGAGCCTAAAAAAATTCTCATTTCTATTTTGGTAAAATCTCTCATTAGAACCACGAAAAGCCAAATTATGTTTAGTAAGAAATTTCACTATTGAAATAATTCTTTTTAAAATAATTTTTCAGTGTTCCTTTTCTCTCTCAATCAACCTTTGAGTTGTTTTATCAATATTTTAAAAAATTTGTATTTTTTTAAGCTTCTTTCTCAATCAACCTGATTGGGATTGAGTTGAATTATCAAGTTTTTTCTTTTTCTTACGCTTCTCTCATCTAGAATCAAATGTTCTAATCTTAGGAGACAATTTAGGAAGCATAGAAAGAAATAATATAAACAAATTTAAAACCCGAAATTGAAGCTGATCAATTCCACAACGTTGAAGTTGAACCAATAAATTCCACAGCGTTAAAATTGAACGACATTTTCCATAGCGTTGAAATTGAACAGATAAATAAAAAATTTAATTTTTTCACTCAAGATTGAATCTTTCTATAAAATTGTAAATTGTGCTTATATAAAAATAAAATAAAATAAAAAGAATCTATTTATATTGTGCTTATATAAAGAGAAAATTAATTAAAAAAAACACTATTTTTAAATAATTGAGATTTTTTTCTTTTGTTATATATGGAAGTTTTTAATATCCTATTTGGTTGTTATATTTTTTATTGATAAAGTTGTGTATGTTTATCCAAAGTGTTTGAATGTCCCATGTCCATGTTTCACATTTAAATACATGTTCAATTTATTCCATTATCTATTCTTTTAAATACATTAAAAAAAACACTATTTTTAAATAATTGATATTTTTTTCTTTTGTTATATATGGAAGTTTTTAATATCCTATTTGGTTGTTATATTTTTTATTGATAAAGTTGTGTATGTTTATCCAAAGTGTTTGAATGTCCCATGTCCATGTTTCACATTTAAATACATGTTCAATTTATTCCATTATCTATTCTTTTAAATACATGTTCTTATTGTTAACTTTTAAAAAATAAAGTAGCGCCACTTTCTCTCTCTAACAGTCACAATGTGACTCTAAAAAACTACAACACACCTCCATCTTTCACTTTCTCACTCTGAGTCAAAAAAACAACACCCATTAAAAAAGAAAAACAAAAAAAAACTCACTTATTTCCTCTCATTTCTGAACGTTATAAATAAAAAATAGCCGCAACAATAATGTAACAAACAAGCATCAAGATTCAAACAATAACTTCAATTTCAGAAATAAGGAAAAATGAAAAAAATTTAAGCTATCAATCAGTGATTAGTCGAAGAAAACGCGAAGAGGAAAAGATGAGGGCTACCTCGGAGTCAGACACGGTGGTAGATCCGGTGGTTTTCGCGTGGTGGCGGTGGCACGGAAGGCTGAAGCAGTGAACAATGGCGGTGAATGTGAACTGTTACGTTGCAAATGGAAATATGTGTTGAATGAAATTCTGAAGGAAGACAATCTATTTTTTTGTTGAATTACTTTTGTTTTTGTTAGGCCTATTATTCATTGGATTGGACCTGTTTTTTTTTTTTAATCAAAGAAAGATTGAATTAATTCAAAAAAACATTACAAGTACAAGGCGATCGCGAGGATCCTGTCCTCAGAAAAGACATAAAGACTAAAAGAAAAGTACAAAAAACACTAATAAGTCATCAAGTGAACAATGTGCGGCCTGAGTTTCTGGTTATACCATATCCATATACAAAAAACACTAACAAATGTCATTACGGTATTGTCAAATACCATAAACTGTTTCCGTTATAGCCAGTTTCAGGAGGGACGCTCGCCAGCCCTTACCGCTCGTGCTCTTGCACACCCAGTCCATTTCTTCATCCCACAGTCGCGGGACATGTGGAATCTGGATCCAATCTAGGACCTTGGTCCATATATGCACCGTTTCAGGACAGCAGAATAATACATGATTAATGGTTTCCTCCTCTTTAGTACACAGACAACATCTATCATCAGTGATCATACCAAATCGAAAAAGGCGTTGTTTAGTAGCCAATCTTCCGTGACACGCAAACCACATCGTTATCAGAGCCCTTGGTCGAGCAACATTATTTCGGAGTATGTTCTTCCACATTACTTTGGGGGCATTACTACAGATTGCCAGATAAATATCAGTCATCCTAAACTTATCACTAGTTAACATGCGATTCCAAACCTGTTGAATATCCACCAAGCTATCCCTCTGTTTTAGATTGGACATGTTATTTTTTTAACTGACTTATACAATTATGGAAATTTTACCACATACCACTACAATTATACCCATACCCTTATATTAATATTTTTTGGACCAAAATATCCTCATATAAAAATTTATAATTTTTTTCATTTATTCACCGGAAGACTTTTTGCAAGTCTCCCGGTTCATATTTTTTTCTTTTGTTCACCGGAAAACTTTTTTCAAGTCTTCCGATTCATATTTTTTTCGTTTGTTCACCGGAAGATTTTTTGGAAGTCTTCTGGTTCATGTTTTTTTTTTAATTTTTAATATTGTCAATTATAATTTTTTTTATTTACTATCCTATCATATAATTTATTAAAAATTAAAATTAACATTTATATAATATTATCAAATATTATAATATTTTTAATCATTTTAACGTTAGTTTTTTAATTCTATTCATGAATTCAAATCAAAAGTAGAATATATAACATACAATTATAGCTTTTAGTCATTTAATTTTATTTAATTCAATATCAAAGAATTATTTTAAGTTTCTGAATTCAAACATTGACCGAAACATATATTAATCATTCTTTAAATTATCGGTATTTGAAAACTATATATTTAAGAAAAAAATCTGAATTCATTGAACAAGCAAAAAATGAATTGATATCCAATAATAATTTTTTTAATATAAAATAAATGATGGAGGAAAAAACAAACACATGTCAATAATTTATTTTAAAATTTAATAGTTCAGATTCATTCTTATTTTATTACATAAAAATAACTATTATATATATATATATATATATATATATATATATATATATATATATATATATATATATATATATATATATATATATATATATATATATATATATATATATATATATATATATATATATATATATATATATATATATATATATATATATATATATATATATATATATATATATATATATATATATATATATATATATATATATATATATATTATAATAATTACAATAATAAAAAACTTAATAATATTGATAATAATAATAATAATATAGTCCCAACAAGCAAATAATGAAAAAGATTATGATCTATTTGTTTTTTACTCACTTGTCTCAACTATTTTATTAATAATACTTTTATTCTAATTTAAATTATCAGTATATGAAAACTATATATTTAAGGCAAAAATATGAATTTACTGAGCAAGAAAAAAATGAATTTTTAATATAAAATAAAAGATGAATGGGAGAGAGAAAAATGACACATAATGTCAATAATTTATTTTAAAATTAAAAAATTAAAAATAAAAAAAAAACATGAACGGGAAGACTTCCAAAAAGTCTTTCGATAAACAAAAAAAAATATATGAACCGGAAGACTTGCAAAAAGTCTTCCGGTGAACAAACGAAAAAAATGTGAATCAGTCTTCCGGTGAACAAAAGAAAAAATATGAATCGAAGACTTGCAAAAAACAAATGAAAAAAATTATAAATTGTTATACGAGAGTATTTTGGTCCAAAAATTTTTTATGTAGGGGTATGGGTATAATTGTAGAGGTATGGAGTAAAATTTCCTACAATTATTTACATAAAAAAAATTGAGGCCCCTATTTTTTTAGAGGTCCTGGACTGTAGGTTTGGTTGTCCTGGCCCAAGGTCGGCCCTGTTCCTGGGACAAATTCATATTAGGTTATGCGGTGCTAGAATATTTTTTGTGGATATATGTTTTAAATGAGAGATGTCATTGATCTGGCGTTATATGATTGATGTCAGTATTTTATGATTTAAAATTTGATGATTTTTATTATTTTATTGGTATCATTCTTCTATTTGCCATTTATTATGTGGTCTTTAGACTTTCTACTTTGTTATTGGAGGTAGATCTTCACGGAGATGTTTTTACAGGCTTGTTGGATGTATTTGTTTCTAGGGCTCATCATGGCAGATTTTAACGAACAATCTTACAAATCAAATGAGAATTTTATACCATACGAATCTCACAAACTAAACGAAAAATTTTAACGAACAATCTCACAAAGCAAACAATATCTTTTATTAGCTAAGCTCACAAACCAAACATAGCCTTCTCCCAAAAGAAATTCCATAAGAGATATAAAATTTCTTGCAAAGATTACAATATTACCCCTGCACCACAATACACAACAAAAATCTCACACATGTTTTTCACTCCTAATGTGCTAAGACAATTTTAGTGAAATGAGAGAAATGAGGGGGGAAAAAAGAGTAAACAAAAAGAGAAAGAGTGTTAAAAAAACGTTTTCAGGTGTGTTTTAAAAGGTAAGAGAATCCTCTATTTATAGGATAGAAGTCTAGCTAAAAAGGAAAATTATCCTTGAGCTTTTTAATGCTCATAATCAATTATATCACATAATCAATTATATGTTTTGTAAAAACAGCAACCATAATTCCCAAAAATAAAACCCGACAATGGCTAGTGTCTTGATTGATTAAGAGCATTCATAATTGATTAGGAAGTTTTAAAATTTATTCTAATCGATTTTCTAAGGACTTTAATCAATTAAGAAGTATATATAAACCTCCTAAATGTTTAGGGTCTCCCTTTATCAATTTCATAAGCACCATGATGGTCCCTCTAAGGATTTTAAGGAGTTTTGGTTAAATATAGAGGTTTAAATACTTTTAGAGTGTGTTTGGATGAAGTAATTAAAATTTTTTAAGGAATTCAAAATTTTAAGTAATTGAAATGATTCAATTGAAATCTATTCGTTTTTAATTTCTTTTGTTTGGATGGAGTATTAAAATTATTTATTTTTAAATTTTTGGGGTCATTTTTATAAATTTTAAAATTTTTGAGTCAAATTTAAAACATGAAAAATAGGGACCGATTTATAACTTTTGAAATTTTAAATGGACTAATTTGTAAAACTTGAAAAAAATTAGGGATTTATTTGCAATTTTTAGAAAATTTTAGGGGTGAATTTGAAATTGGCATCTTGCAAAATTTGAAAAATTAATAATAAACAATTTAACAATTACATGACATAAAGTGAATGGGTAATTTCAAATTCTTTACTTTTTTGGTGTCATTTGAAATTCCTTAAATTTAACTTGAATAAAATACTTCATAAATTTACATCATTTTAACAATTTTCTATATTTTTTATCCAAACAATAGATTTTGGTCAAATCATTTTAAATTCCTTCAAAAAATTACTTTACCTCATTAAAATGCTTCATCCAAACATACTCTTAGGTGAGTGTGTGCATTGTCTTAGTGATTTAGGAACTACTATAATATCTTTTACAATACTCTTATCACTTAGACACGAACTAGACAAATTTTCACACTTCCTGTTTTTTACAACTCTAAAGTTTCAAGATCACTTGCTTGATACATCAATGATTGAACACTCTATATTAAACTTCACATCACTTTTATCTGATAAGGCTTAATTAGGCTTATTGATAAATACCATCCACAGAGATATTGCTTGACTCCAAATCATCATGGATTCCATTGAATACCACTTGACATTAGGTGTTGTTCTTAAGAGATTGGCTTTGAAATCTTGACATTCAGTGTTATCTTTACAGTCATTATACTTGCAAGTACATAGCTCCATATTCTTCCCCTTTTTGATGATGACAATTCATCTTTCATGGAGGTGGACAAACAAAGAAATAATGGTAAAAATTTGGAGTAGTTAAACTCTCTTTGACAAATGTAGAGAGTATGTGTTACTCTCCCTGAGAGTAAACTTCTCCCCCTTTAGCATAATCAAAAAGGAAGGAAAAGATAAACATATATGGAAAAACATCCTAACACATAGATCACGAGATAACAAACACATATTTAATAAATCAAATGCTTCATTAATTAAAAGGAAAAATCAAATACAATAAGCGGGAAAATTAAGAATTCAAACACTCTTAACAACACAAAAAGTGAGAAATCACTACTTGCCACTATTATAATCATTTTTTACTTTGACTTTTCCCGTTGTATTCTTCTTGGTGATAACAACATCTTTGGCCAAACTTTGAAGAGTTAGAGAACTTTCCTGAGAGATTGCAAGAATATCGTTTATCATTCCTTCATTGGCTATAATTGGCAGAGCTTCGACTTCTTCTTCTTCTTCTTCTCCTTCTTTTTCCATTAGACCATTCCTTAATTCACCTCAAAAGAATCAAACCAAAATTTAGATTAATGACATTGATTCGATCCTACAGTGGATTGCATTTATAGATTCACGCTCAAAGTTAACTCTAGCTTTAGCCAAGATCTTGGTGATCAGGCTTCCATAAGGAAACCCAATTAAGTGATTTCTTATACAATGGGACATGTGGTTAAAAATTCCATCGAGCTAATTAGTTAGGTGAATTTAGGTCAGCATCTGCATAATAATAATGTCTTCCTTTATTCATTAAAACGACTCATAAATTATTTTCTTTTTGAGCCATATTTTTTTATAATATAAATGAGGCTTCTCCTCATTTGGAAACATTCTGAAATTCAAATTTCTCATATTTCTTTCTATTTTATTATTCTTATCCCCTCTCGATATGTTTCTTTCACTAAAAGTTGTCTTGGTACCTTGTGAGTGAAATAACTCATGAGAAAAGTTTTGTACAAGTGTTGTGACCATTTCATCCTCTGCCTCAATTTTGATAATTATGGTGAGATCTTTTTTAATTTTCTCCTTTTGCTGTAATTATTTCTTCCGTTGTTATGTATTCACATGTCTTTTTTCTGAAATCATCCAAAGTTTCTGAGGGCTTGTATGCTATCGAATCAAAAAAAGATTTTGGTTAGAGATTTTCCACCAACGCATGTAATGTAATGACCATGTTTGTATATTTTATTTGGGATATCTCGTCCTTAAAACAATCCATAAATGAGTTAAAAGTCTCTTCTTACATATGCTTGAATCTAACGAGACATGTCAAACACTTTTTATATTGTTTGTCTCATAATGAATCTTGATATGAGAT